TATGTATATATATATTTAAATATACGAGTCTTTTATATATTTATACGTATATATATGTATAAATACATGTATATTTTGTGTATACGTATATATAAATATATATATATATATTTCAATTGATTTTTGAATTAAAATCCAAATTTCCAACCGATGTCCGTTGGAATTCCGTTGGAATTTTTTTTTAAAATTTTCAAAAAAATTTCCAACCAGTATCCGTTGGAATTCGGTTAGAATTTTTTTTAAAAAAATTTCCAAAAAAAATTCCAACCGGCATACGTTGGAATTCTGTTGGAATTTTTTAAAAAAATTTCCAAAAAAATTTCCAACCGGCATCTGTTGGAATTGTTTTTTAACAAACATCCGTTGGAACTCCGTTAAAAATTTGCAACCGATTTTTCCAACGTTAATCCGTTGAAAATTTCCAACAGATATCCGTTGGAAATACCGTTGGAAATTTCCAACCCAATTTTTTAATTGAATACGTTGAAAATCCGTTGGAAATTTTCCAACGGACAAATCCGTTGGAAATTTTCCAACGGACAAATCCGTTGGAATTCGAGGATTTTTTTGTAGTGAATGAACGTACTGATTATTAAAAAAAAGAAAGAATAGAAGAGAAATAATTACCGGCGTTAACAAGATCTCCCTCCAGGCTTGACGGGCAGTTGACCAGAGTTGACGTATTGGGTAAACGCCGTTAACGGAGAAGTTGGCTGGATCTTCTCTCCACATCGTATATTCTCTTGGATATATTTTCTTAGCATCCACTGCCTCCCATTTCTATACCCCATTTAGTTTTTCACATCATACAAGTACATACATACACACATCTACATATATATACATATACATATACATATACATATACATATACACACATGTTGGTAAACAATGCCTTCTAAATGTACGTAAAAATCAAAGGAAAATTAGGATATGTAGATTGTACGGACCATTTCTCATGCCCTCGAGAAAAAAGACATGAGCCTCCATCAACGAGTCGAGGAACACGAGAGGCTCTTCCCGCCCTTCCCACATCAATTCCGCTGTAGTCTATATCATAAACCGGGTTTACAGATACATAAATTCGGTTAAAAGGATATGATGATAAGTTTAATGTTGCATATGACATACAATATTATCATTTATACTAGAAAACATTATTGTATGATACAAGAACTTCCTGTATATGTTTCCTTCCTCCGGTAATAGATACAGGGCAATTCTTAGCATGATATTAGAACCTAAGGTTTTTAAAAAACACAGATACAAAAAGTCTTGTAAGTTTAATACAACGATACAAGCGGGATGTTTTGACCTGCGCTTTTTATAGAGAAAAAATCGGAAAAAAAGTCACTTTTTAATCTGAATGATAATCATCATGCATATCCATGATAGCATGTTAGACAATTGGAGAGATATTAACCATAGTTTGTCCTCACATTTATTCAAATATCGAACGAAAAATTAGCAATCGTCGGTCATATGACGAAATGCCACCTCCATAACTACCAAGAAAACCTACGGGATATCATGTGTTGGTATTTTTAGAGTAAATGAATGGAAATTTAGAATCTCTCAAAAGGATTCATGTTTCACGTGTATTACAAGTATGGTGGAGGAGATAAATGCTTGTAAAAGACGTGGTATGAATTGGCTAAGTGTTAAGGATACGTCGAAAGAGTTTACGTTCGGTTTTGAACGTAAAGGTGATCTCAGAAAAAATGGGAGAGCAGCTCGAAAATATGAGCTGGCAGCCTGTTTTTTCTGAGGAATAAAGCTCATAAATAAATGGGCGGTAGCTCGAAAAAACCAGGAGGACAGCCCGTTTTTTCTGAGCAATTCAGACATAAACGGGCGGGTAGCTCGACAAAAGGGCGGGCAGCCCGTTTTTTCTGAGCAGTTCGGATTGAGCGAAAAATCGCGACCGTTCGGAAAATACTTCCGATTTCTTCACACCTTTCGACATTTGGAGTGTTTATTAACACCCCTGAACATCCTAACACTATATAGAACAGATCTAATTGATTTTGAGAGATTTGTGAGCCTTGTTGGTGAAGAAACTTGCTACTTCTTCTCCATCTTTTACTGTTCATCTTCTTTCTCGGGTTTTTCTGTTTCGGGTAACGTTTGAGGAGCAGATCAATCGTTGCTGGTCTTCTTTGTATCTCTAAACGTATTCTCGGGATTCTCCTTTGCTCGGTGGGGAGGGAATAACGTTTTAGGAAAGTGAAATCACGCCTAGAAGATTATATCCGGGTTCTTACGTTTTTATTTCGATTTCATTGATTTTGTTGTTCTTTCCTGCTGTATCCAGACCCACTTTTCTAACATTATGTCCTAGCCCTAAGTGTATATATATGTATAAAAGCTCCAATGTTGCAAAATTATCAAAACGTAATACAAAAGACGAATGCCTAGAACAAATGGCAGTAAGAGCTTCAAAGCCGAGATCTACGAGACGAGAAAAGGGCATATCGGTCATTAAACCAAGCAGTGTGGATATATAAGAGAGTGAAAACTGACCTTGGCTCGAGATATGGGGCTGGAGAAACATCGGTCGAAGTGTATATCCTCAAGGGCTTCTCTACACCTACGTGCTTGTGCCTTACCTATCTCTGTCAAGACCGATTTATTCGAACTTCCCTACATATACATACATACATACATACTTATACTGATTGATCATATAAAAAAATTTCGAAAATGCTCAAGACATTGCATGGAAAGATTATAAAAAATTTGGTTTTGAGTCGGTTAAACCATGGACCAACCTGAATACGACCCTCTTCATTCCAAGAACTAAGGCCATGCCTTATAAGAGTCACTCTCTTGGGACAAGATAGAGCCTTACGAGTAAGCGAAGTCGTCGCTTTTTCGAAACCATAGGCACCGCCGGTTAATGGACGGACGTTCCGGACTTCATCTTCATTCAGATTCACCAAAGTATGATTACATTTGAAAAATATTCAAGTTATGTGATTCTTATTTTTTTGTAGAAGAAATATTTCATAAACTCGAACGTTCTTTCGCATGACAAGATGCAAATGATCGTATGTACAAAATAATTGTGAAATTGGACGATAATTAGATCCGGCCCGATGCAAAAAAGATTACAAGATTTGCAGATTCTTATCCTTCAAATTTCTTCAATTTAAGAAAACTTAGATAGATATCTCAAAAACTCCAATTCATTTCTATTCAACAAATCAATACTTAGGACAGGACAATGAATACTTGATTAGAACAATTCCAGCAGCGATTTCGACAAACTAATTGCCAAATTTTGCGAATAATCCCAACAACAAGAAGCTAATAAGAACAAAAAACCTCGGACTTAGTCGATCCTCTCATTAAGAACACGAAAACGGAAGAGCTAATCATCAAACACATCACTAACAAAAAAATATATATATATAAAAAAATCAATAAAATCAAAGACAACCTATTCAAGAACGCAGAACTACTAAATCAAACATCTGTAAAATTTAAAAATAAAAATAAAAATATATGAGAATACCAGTGGAGACAGAAGAATCACGAGAGGAACCAATCTGACATATGATCTTGGGGATCGCATGATGATGATGATGACGAAGCCTTTGGCGATGCAAGGAATTTGAAGAAGTGAGGTTCGGATGCAGAACAAGACTTGAAGATGAAACTCCACAAGCCATTTCCGACCACCACTCTCTAATCGGAATTATCTTTCATTTAAATTATGTTATACGTATATGCGCACTACTCTATAAAAAATAAATTTGTTCTGACAAAAGAAAATCCAAGGGGTGGGTGAGGATTGGCTGTGTGCTGGTCCACTCGATGATATTTAGATTATCTTGTTAGGTTTTTACTTTTTAGCAGCCTCACGCGTTCTGATTTTGTCTAAAATTAAAAAGAATAGTACAAAGTTAAATAAAACTTTTTAGCAGCCGCCCTTGCCATGGATCGAACCTGGGCCGCCCGTGAAGGGGGGAAATACTCCACTATCCTCGAACAACTTTTCTAGAACCATTTTTTCCTCAAAAAATAATTCCCTAAAACTATTTATGAAATTTTATTTGACTCTAGGTTAATCGTTTTTCTATTTATTTTAATTTTTGTCTAAATTCAACCAGTGTTTTTTTTTCAAGAGATGAAATAGAAAGAAAAAATAGTTATGTTTTGTGTCGTAAAGACAAGAAAAAATTTCAATATCTAAAGGGGATTTCTCGACTATACAAATCAGGAGTAATCCAAACCGAAGAAACATAAAATTGTATACAAACCAAAATCTGGTATAAAATCAAATTGATATAATTATTCTAAAATGAAAAAAAAATCAAATCCAGATGGAATTCGAACAAATATAAAATAACATAAAAATCTGGAATCTTCATTAGAAATAAATATTTCTATTAATAAAAACCGAATCTAAATAAAAAAAACATCTACTTGGACCAAATTAAACGGGTATAGTTTTTCTAAAACCGATAACTTAAACCCGAAAATTGAAACAAATACGAATCGAAATCCGAAATATCTACTGTTGTGATCGGGTGTATAAAAACCTTTCTTTATATACTATTAGAATTATGGCTCCCCTCCCTCTATACACAAAATACCATAAAATCCCATTTCCCACATTTGAAAACCCTCAAAACAAGAAGAAACAGAACTTACAAAAGAAGAAATTTGGAGGAAGGAAAACTCAAAGACCATGTGGGAGATTTGTGGCTGTTTCCACCATAAGAGTCTCCTCAGCTCCGTTACTACTCATTACAAAAACCACCTCCCAAATCACAACATATAAACAATGTCCTAAACTATGCAATGCATTACCGTATAAAAAAAATTCACTGTTTTTTCTTTGTTCCTTCTTCTTAAAATACATATATCGAACCTCAAATCATATAGAATGCTATATATATCACTGCCGTTCAGTGATTTTCTTTTGTTTTATAGCTCTGTTGTGTGGTTTTCTGGAACTAGTTAAAGTTAAATGGGTATATTCTTATAATGTTTACACAAACGACAAATTCAATATATATTTTGTTTTATTAGAGAGAGAAACAAAACTTGTAGATTACCTGAGATGACTGAGAGCTGACATACGGTAGAGACACGTGAAAACAAGTATGTGCAGTCCGATTGTGTAGAAGAAGGCGAACGTTCTTGCGTATCTGGAAAGATCCATATGTTGGAAATATAAAATTAACCCATGAAATTTTGGGTTTTGAATTTCATATTAGTTTAAACTCATTGATGGATATGAGTTAATTAAATTTGAATGTCCACATGGTATTCATGGTAATCCATCTCTCTTTACCCTATAAATAAGATCTTGATTCACATTTTTCATCCATCAGAAAAATTATCAAAGTAAGGGTGAAAAGAGAGAAAAACTGATTTACTCACTTGTTTTTCAAAGTCATTCCGCTGCAATATGGATTCAGGTATATTTCATATGCGATATATATTATCTTATTAAGTTCGTGTGAATTATGTTATACCGTATCCAGTTCGGATGAGTTTTCATAAAAGTTATAGAAAACCATCAATATAAAGTTAACATTTGGTATCAGAGCATGTGTTTTGGTGTTATCATAATTCATCGATTAAAGTTTCGAAA